ATTCTAAGCAAATTGGCATATTCGTTTTATCATCAGGAACGTACTGCTCTCCAGCAAGTGGCTTATCGCATTGATAACAACAGAAGTGTTTAATATGGTATGTGCTATTTTCAGCTGCTGTATATTCCTTAGTGAATATTAACTCATCACATGCTTTGCAACGAGGAATTTTTAACTTGATGGCTAAGTCACGTCCACAGTACACTTGACCACCATGAAAGAAGTATACTAAATCAGCTAAAAGTTCGCGACATGTATAGCATTTAAAACAGTTAGGATGCCAAGCAATTTCTCTGCCTGCACGAGCCGCTTTAACAGCAACATCCCCAAATTTAATAGCTTCATCACAATCACGACATTTCATTTCTGGTAATTCAGTTTGATTTACACCTGAAATTAAAAACGTATTAAATACACATATTATACATATTATTACAATATGCTTAATTAACCTATTTCGTTGTCTGGAAAATTTTTACTTAGATGCATATTTTGCAACATATTTGGTAATGCTACACCGGCCTCCACTGTTGGATACATATTCATGTCTTCAATACCAGGTATGGACTTAAAAATTCCTGAATTAGCATTGATTTCATTATCTGGAGAATTAATAATACTGCCTTGTGGTGTAGTTGATTTAGAATCGAATCCAGAATCATTGCTGCCTGATGCTTTAAGGGCGTCCCGAAAACTATTTGTTTGATTTCCGTAAGCAATTTGTTTACCAAATGGCATATTTTCTACAAAATTTCGAACTTCTCCATATAATTTTGGATCGGTGTGTAAAAGCTGATGAAGTTGATGAAGCGGCATTAAAAGTTCACAATCGTTATACACAATATCTTTTTCATCAAGTACATTAAACAATCGTTCGTAATATGGATCATTTAAAAAAACACTTTGTACTGCTGTTTTGTCAACTCCTATCGCACTTAATTTATTTTTCGTTGGCAAACTAAGGGCGGATTCATTAGAAAAATTTGGTATTAATGGTGATTGCGAAATAACCATAGGAACCATTGACTTGCCCACTCGATTACTTTCAAGTAGCACTTTTAATGGTGTCGCGTTTATAATTTTTGCGAATATCGGGTCTTTTTCATAGTCCACATAGTCTGGTAAATCACAATAGTTTATAACAGGAGAAACACCACCAAATTTAACCTTTCTTAAAGGTGTGTCTTGTCGCATTTGAGCACTTATTCGAGTTTGTACAGGACATTTTAATGGAAGTGGTGAATTAAACAAGTTATTCAGTTTTGCAGTATTTTGATTTGGCTCTTCTAATTTACTACAAACTGCATTCACTTCATTTTTAAATGCTGGATTTTGTAGATATTCTTTGCGGAAATTCTTAATAGGATTCAGCCTGGGATCATAACTCACTTCTATATTTTTGTCCTATTTCAAAAGTACATTAATATATCATTTGATTGAAGTTTATATTATATACCTGTAATGCAGCCAGAACTTTATCATAAATAGCTCCATTTTTTACCAAACTGCATACAGCACTTTTATTGAGACCAGAAAGTTTTTGTTTTGTTTGAGCTGAAATCAAAGGTTCGTTTTCGAAATCGGCAGATGCTTCACATATTGGCGTTTGAAAAACAATAAGATGATTTTTTAAGATAGATGGACTTTCATTGGCAATTGCATTCTTCAATTTGTCTGATGCTAACAGTTCACTCAGAATCACATCGCAATCTGGTACTTCAGCTAATATATGCTGAAAATGTTTATGTGAAGACAGATCTTCCGACTGTGATGCAACTGCCTGTGGCATGTGCGTCACAAATCCTTGATTCAAAACACCTATACGTACAACGCTACCTTGACCGACACAATTTTCACGAATTTTTTGAACATATTGTTGTAATTGCTTAGTCTCGCCATCAGTAAGATTATCGCAAAGTGCCGCATCGAGATCATGTGGTGGTACTTGATATTCAAGTTGCTGCTTACGTTTAACTGCAGCATAACTTCCCGCTACCGGTATCTTTGCAGAGCCAAGCTTCTCCATATAATCTGATACTATATCTGGTTTTGTATTGGGTGGCACCCAATCCAAATGAAGTGGTTGACTTGCAAGTGCTTTAATTTTAATAACTGAAAGAAAATACTCTATTGAATTGAACATATTATTTAAAATTTTATAATACATGCTGGTTTCGAACGGATTTGTCCCAAAATTTCAAACTGTGCCCAGCCAGAAAAGTTGTCGTCGCCACACATATGCTGATCCTTTCGGCATTTACAGTTCCGACACACTTTTCTCCAAAAATGCAAATCTAATCCGGGACATTTATCGCCGCATTCATTACATTTAGAACCAGCTCCCGCTTCATGTCCTAATTTTGATTGCTTAAGTTTTTCTCGCCGATCTTCTAATTTAAGCAACCAGTCCGGTGCCGCTGGTGTCTCTACACAAGAATTGTTGTCCATATTTTGTTCGAATTGCTCTTAACACTTTTGAAATACAGCGTTTGTATTTTAACTATGAATCATAACTTTCAACCCTTATAATTAACTTAATCATTTATATGACAAATAAAAAAAAGAAAATCATGCAAAAATATATAACGTAAAATGAACGCAAACAAAATGTTGATTTGTCAAAATAATATTTTAATGAGTCTTGTAGTCCAAAAAAAAAAAACGATTATTTACTTGTCATATTGTTATCGAATCTAATTAAAACATGGTTGTATTTTAAACACTTATGTTGCAATAACCATATCAAAGTGTGCACTTCTATTATGTCTACTTATATATAATAAAAATATAAGCAATAGCGTGTCTAGCTCAAATTTTTATCAACTGATTCTGTTGTTCTTTCAACTTAGTCTTAATTGTAACATAAATAAAAAAAATGTCGAGCGGAGAGTAGATACAATTATTTAATTAAATTTAATTATGTAAATAAAATGATTAAATTAAATAACTGATTTTGTTTTTCTTTTTATAGATTTAGGTTTGAATAAGTTTACCTAGCTAACAAGAAGACCCTAAAGTTCTTTATATGAAATTCACAGTCAACTTTTATACACGCTGCACAAGTGTTAATAGTTTATAATAATTTTAATATTGTTCAATTTATGTTAGTTTGTTGATATTGTACAAATGTTAGTAGTTTGAGAGATATTGAATTGTTTTTATGAGTATTATCATTTTAAGAGTACTTAATTCCATAAAATATGTTACAGCCTTATATATTGAATTTTAGTTGGCGAAATATTATAACATAATGCATAATGAATTTACACTATGAACTTTAGCTTTAACAGTTCTACTATTAAGGCTATAGTTATGGGTTTTAAATTTCAGATTTGTTGTTATATTGTACTACATATATTTATTGTATATTATATGGATTTCTAAATAAATAATCTTAATGGCAGCTATTAAATAACGTTTTTCTTTTAATAAATTTGCCACGTTCCAAGGTCAGTATTAGTTTTTGTTATTTATATCATTATTAACACTTCACATTTAGAAAATCTTAATTAGCTATAACTGCACAATTAAAAGTAAGTTTTTACACCATGCCAACTTAATAAAGGAACAAAGAGATAAAATTATAAGAACTATATTTATGTAATATAATTATCAGAGGTATTCGAGAAGTTGTGAACTACAACAACAACAAATTTTTTCTTTATTATCTTAATTAATTAAATTTTTGGCTAACCATACAGCTGTTTCGAGTATTGCCAAATACCCATCATCAGTGGTCTTGGAAATAATTCTTGTATTTAATTATTCATAAATAATTTTTTGAGATTGCAATTACCAGGAATCGAACTAGTGGCGTGCCAAATTTGAAGCTAAGAGTCAGCGCTCCTTAACCAGCTGACCCAAAACCGGGTCAGTTGTGAAAGTTTTATTAACAAATTCACTTCCTGTGTTTATATTAGAACGAAATCATAAACGAGCTCTATGTATGTTTTTATTTTTAATTGTTAATTATAAGATAAGTGTGGTTTTGTTTCAATTATTTCTTCTCGTATGAGGAATGCCACCAATTATTACATCAATTATTATTAAATACGATAATCAAGAGAGTGTAAACATATAGCAGTATTAAAAGTAAAAGCCAGGTACATAAATAAATAATCCAACAAAATCTGATTTAATTCTTTAAAACATTTTAATATACCCTGTTGTAACACAATTAAAGAGTTATTAGAAATATGAAATACGTGTAAATGTAACAGTATTCTTGATAAACGATTTAACAAATTTTATAGTAAGTTCTTTTATTTTCGATTATTAACAGCAATTTTAACTTTTATTTTATTATACATTTTAATAATGTGTATCATAAGAACTACAGATTATTTAAGACAATAACTATTAAGTTGTCTATAATAATATAATAATTATTATATTATATATAATTATATAATAACAAAAAATAAAAGAATATATTAATAATGAAATTAGAAATATGAATTAACTGAAATAAACGTACTAAAAACATTAACAATAAACGCCAGTATTCTTGATAAATGATTTAACAAGGTTATACATGAGCAAATATTAAAATACATATGGAATTTGCTAATATTTCAAATTATTTTATTTATTTTTTTAACCATTAAAAAGTAAACTTTGCTGAACATTTTTTCATATTGTTTTATTTTATTGAAACCTAAAAGCGCGTATTCAAACAACAAAAATAATTGTTAACTTGATTGTATTTTTACTCTTTTAGTTCGTTCGAAATGTATGTTTGTACTAGGTTTAAACTTAAAACATTGAAACTAACACCAAATGTGGTGGTCTACATGAGATATAAATTTTGATTTTCTGTGACAAAACAAATTAGTGAAGCGAGCTTAACGATGAAAATTACAATTACTTGTGCTGTGTGAATAGGCTTTAAGGCATGAATACGGTTTCTTAAACATCGATATTTGACTAATTTTTGTAAAGTTGTTATTCTAAACAACATTTTTCACTATCTTATGCATCGACACAGACTATACATCAGATTTTAAGTCCAAAACCTGTTTAATCTCCCATTAAATTTCGGCAATTAAGATGATTTAGTGTAAACAAACTAAACTTAAAATAATTTCTATCTTAATATAATTATAATTGATTTTTTCAGGTAAATGACATTGCGGATTTCTTTGATAACTTAAATGTGTTCCTCTTTGGTTATTTCTAATATTTGTTGCAGTAAATCATTTTTACGTTTTATTTCATTAGTTCGCTCTTTATATGCCTTCAGCTGTTTCCTCCGCATTTTTCTTTTCGCTTTTTCTGTTTTTCTAAGAAAGTCTTGTTTCTGTTTATTATATTTTCTCTGCTGTTGTAGGTACTTCTCTAACGCATTGAAGGATTTTGGTTTTATGCCTCCCGACGGTGAACACTTCGCACTTGAAGTATTGGAATATATCTCTTCATCAACTGTAACATCGTTGGATGGTAGAACTTTATGTAAACAGAAAATATATATTAAATGATTTTTTGTAGTAACTATGATTTACTATTTTAATAACAAACTATTATTGTCGCTAAATTATTGCATTTTTTCGTGGTTTAACAATTTTGGAATTCTCCCAAAACGCTAAATGCTTACCATCTTCTTCAATTTCCTCTTCCAATGAATTTTTTATTTCATCTTTAATGGGTTCTTGTGTACACAAAACAAATTCTGGAAGTACGTTGCTGTTGGCTTTAAAGATTTCAATGAGGTCACTGAAAATACAATTGTAAATAAAATTCAAATTTGTATAACCATTGGCAAGCATACTTACCCTTTATATGGGCGTTCATTACTAACTGGTCTTTTTGCTTTAATACGAGACTTAAAAGTTCTATATAAACTCTTCCACTTGCTCTCTACTTGCGTTGGAGTGAAGTTATAACCATGTTTTCGCATATCCTCCGCTATTTGAGCCCACATTTTTAGTTTAGTCTTAATGCGTATTGAATTGCCTAATTCTGGTTCGTATTTTTTGTAGAGATCAATTAACAATTTGGTTTGGCATTCTCGCCAACTTGCTTTTGCATCTCTCCTACCTTCAAAATTTAAGTTCGCAGCATCATCTGGTAAAACTTGCTCCATAATGTTAGAATGCTCTGTATTAATTTTCCAATTTTTAATTCGCTATTAATTTATTTTAGAACAATAAATAGTACCTTCTTCATGCAGTTCAATAAATATTTGTTGTGTGCAGACCTCCACCGCTTCATCTTCATCGGAGAATTCTGTCTTCATTTCAATAAATTCATTTATCATAATTTCTTTTTTTTTTAGTTTTGATTACTTAATTACTTTTTATTTCGAAAATACTAATAAATTACTTAAAATATTCACGTAGTATCTGGATTTTACTCTATCTTAACATTTGGAGTAAAAAAGCGCAAATAGTGCAAACACAAATCAAAATCATATGATACTTTCACTCGCAATCATGTTTGAAGGAACAATTTGACAGTATTGAACTTACACACATTGTCAAGCAGAATTATTTTTTTTAAATATATTTACAATTTTAACTTTAATATATAATAAATAAAATAATAAAATAATAATATAAAAATAAAATATATATACGAAATTACTATATGAATGATGATATTTTTAATAAATAATATATAAAATATATATATAAATATGTATTGATTTATATAGATATATTGAACTTAACTAAAGTAATTACAACATTAATAATTAAAATTAAATTATATTTACAACGAAAAAAAAGTAGAAAAACGTGCATTTAAATAGTTGCCTTTTCAGGTTCTTTGGTAAGTATTTAAAAAAATGTTTAAAACGAACTTATTAAAAATAAGAACTGTTTTAATGATAACTCTTACTTTCACATAGTAACTATTAAAAAAAAATAAAATTTCAAAGTTCACTACAAATAATTCAAAATGTAACTATTAGTGGTATTATTTTTATTTGCATTTAATTTGTCTTAATACAGTTAAAATATGAAATTTATTAAAGAATTATTTGAAAATTTGTTGTATTATTGGGATCGGATTCCTAAAGGAGTTACAGATTCCGCTATATATAAAAATTGTTTAAATCGTATTAGTGTATAATTGTGAATATGTTAATTTTAATATTTACTTTTTTACTTTGAAAAATAATTTGAACAATAAATTATTTGGTTAGAGAATTCCTTCAGGACTCTTTATATAATCTGCAAAAGAATGGTTAAAATTGTTAGCAACAGATTAGGTTAATAAGCAAAAATCGAAATATAATTTTTTAAATTTATTAAGAAAATAATAAAATTTGTTATTATTACATTGTGACCGAAAAGCTTTCGGAAATTCTCATTTAAAATTCGCGCGCTGTATATTTTTCGATATTTTAAGTTTATGTAGTTTGGCAGCACTGTCCTTAATTACTATGCCAAAAATGAGCGCGATCTGTCAGACAGTTCGTTTACGGCAGCTGTTGAAACCAGTTCACCTCAGTAGTGCGTTGCGAAAAAAACAATGGAAAAAAATATTGAACAAAGAGTTTGCATCAAATTTTGTTTTTCGAACGAAATTTCGTGTGCAGAATCGTTGCGAATGCTACAAAAGGCTTATGGGGAATCAGTTTTATCGAAAACTCAAGTTTATGAGTGGTACAAAGCCTTTCAGGACTGTCGTACGACCGTCGAAGACATGCCGCGTTCTGGACGACCTTCGACCTCTACCACCGACGAAAACATTGAAAAGGCAAAGGAAATCGTGTTCAAAAATCCTCATGTGAGTGTTAGAGAGATAGCACGAGAGCTAGGCATCGGTCGTGAGATGGCTCGTTTGATTTTGGTGGACAATTTGTGTATGCGACGTGTCAACGCCCGGCTTGTTCCGATTCACCTCAATTTGTTCAACATTATCAACGATTTTAAGGCCAAACATTCAATAAATACCATCGAACAGCCACCGTATTCACCTGATCTTGCACCGTGTGACTTTTTCCTGTTTCCCAACCTCAAATTACCACTCAGAGGAACGCGTTTTGAATCCATAGAAGACGTAAAACAGAATTCGCAGAGGGAACTCAAAGCCATACCGGAAAGCGCCTATAAAAAATGTTTTGATGATTGGAAGAAACGTTGGCATTTGTGTATCGCTTCTAATGGAGCATATTTTGAAGGAGATAAAATAAATATTGATGAAGATTAAGAATTTTGCGTTTTATTTAAAATTTCCGGAAACCTTTCGGTCACAATGTATTAAAACGTTCTGTAGATTATTTATACTCTCGTTCATTATTTATACAAATTATTTATACAAATAATGAACGATTGGAAGATTACCTCTTAGCTTTTAAATAAAAAAAAACTGAGTTATTGTAGTAGTATAATAACAGACTATCCTGAAAAATGATAGACTTGCAATCCTGTTTTCCTAAGGATTATCCTGTTTAATTCGACTTATGCGGCGTGATATCTGGTAAATAAGCCTTAGCTACTTATTCAGAGACCCCTCAAAATAATTTAAAATTCAGTGTAGTATGTATATATAAAATAATTTATATTGTAATGTTATTTGTTTTTAAGATTCTAAAACTTATTGTTAGGCTTTAAACAAATGCGATTCAACTAAGACTATTGTTAAATAAAAAAAAATTTTAAAGTTTTCTGTGCTTAGCTAAGTACCAATCAAGAGTATTGACCTCACTATTGAGTGACCACTGTAACCGCAATAGACATCTAAAGGAACAAACATTGCAAGTTATGTGCAGAGTTTGCAAAGGTGTCACCAAAGGACATACTAGGAGCATATGATAAACTGATACACAATAATAGAAAGAATTTAAGATCATACTTAATACTAGTCAAAAAATAAGCAATGCTCAATTTAGTCAACATATTAGGGTTCGTAAGGGCAACGAAACTGGATAAGATTTTACTCTATATATTAGTAGATGGTACGAAAATGATTTTGAACATTATAAAACTTTATTTACCTCATATTGACATCACAGTTGCAACAAAAGTTCTGCAAATAAGGTCTATGAAAAAGTTTCAACATGAAAATTTATAATAATACAAACTATATGCTGTATAATCACATGAAAAAATAATTATTTTAGAATTGGTTGATCTAGTTCCATTCAAAAAGTGCTAACGGTTTTTTAAATATTAAAAACATTTATTTTAATTATAATGTTGTATAGCAAAGAACCTGTATAACTCTAATATAATAAGGAAACCTAAAATTTATTAAATTTCTTAAAGAAAATACTTTTCCGTTAAATTGAAAGAACTTAATTGTTACATTTAGTAATAATATATATGATTTATTACAATATATTTTTTAATCATTATTACATTAATTTTAATACATTTAATTTATAAGTTAATGTTTACGACAATTTATCTTGTTTTGCATTAAAATTTATTGTTAAAAGGGCGGGTATTTATTTATTTTTGTTTATATTTTTAAATAATTATAAGCATAATCTGATGTAATCTTTATTTGTATAACTTTAAATTTGCATAAATATGCATTAATATTGAAATATTAAATATTTTATAAATTTAATACATAAAAAGTTAATTGGTTTAAATTAGTTTTTAGATATTATACTCTAAGATATATTTATATTGTTTTTAACAATTTCCGTACAAGTATATAAAAAAACGAACAAATCATTAAAATAATTCTAAATATTATTATGTATAAAGTATTTATATATACGTGTATATATAGAGAATAGAAAAAATAATTAATTTTTTTAATTCTGCAAATAATGTTTGATTTTTTAATAAACTTAATTAAAAAATATACCATAAATTTTAATTTAAACAACTCAATTCATAGCAATATCAGCCACATTGGAAATTTTTAGTTTTAAAGAATTTAATTAAAATAAAAAAAAAATCAAAAGTCACAATATTTCACTCTTGTGATACATAAAATATTAAAATAAAAATAAATAATTTGCAATGAATTTAATTGATTAGAATTTTTTAAATTTAAAAAAAAATCTATTAATTACTTATAATTTCATTAGTTTGTTTTAAACATATAATATAAATATTATTTTCTATATAAATTTTTTATGGTAATATAATGTATATTTTTATATTTATGTATTATTAAAATTATATATTGTATTAATATATATTTCAAAGCTTATTTATGTATACATCATTTTTAAAGTAATTATTTGCATTTATTTCCATACGTCTTGCTATATAATATATCAAATCATATATATTCAATATGATTTCTTTTCTTTTTTAAATATGTTTGAGTTGAGTTTTTTATTAGATTTTATTGTGCTAAAACCTGCACGAGTTTTTAAAGTATATTTTAAAGTATATATATCTCATTTTTTTTTTAATATTTGTGTGCCCTTTTCTATTTATAAATATTCAAAATTGTTAAAATTTATAATTCTTTATATTTATAAAGTATTGTATACCATAAATACATACCCATACATATATATAGTATATCAATATCTATTACATATATAAATATATACATATATTCTATTTATTGTATATATTTATATATTCTATATATATTTTCCGTATATATATATATATATATTGTACATATATATATTCTATATATATATATTGTACATATATATATTCTATATATATATATTCTATATATATATATATTCTATATATATATATTCTATATATATATATTCTATATATATATATAATATATATATAATATAATATATTATAATAAGATATATAATATATATAATTATATATTCTATATATATATATATATATTCTATATATATATATATATTCTATATATATATATATTGTATATATATATATTCTATATATAAATATTCTATATATATATATTGTATATATTTAATATATTATATGTGCCTTTCACATTTTCTATATTTTAAGTTATAAATATATTTAATTTTGTATATATAAATATTTTAAATTTATTTTATATAATAAAAATGTTTATATTAAATATTTATTATTTAATTGCCAACTTTAAGTTGTTTTTAAATTAATCAATTTTTTAAATATATATAAATATAATTATAGAATTACTTTCTAATATTCTCTGTAAACTTAAATTTACTGACATTGTCTTTTCATTTTCTATATCCACCAATAAATAAAACTGCGCTCTTTCGCAAATTGAAATGTTTGTATAAATCTAAGATTAAAGTCAATTATTGGCTTGAAATTTTAAAAAGTTATTAATTATGTTTGTCTTTCATTTATAATATATTTTGCAGTACAATATATAAGAGGTATTTCTCAAAGACCATAATATATAATCATGAGCTTAAAGCAGAATTTATATAATTATTTTATAATATAAATTTTAAATCTTTTAAAGATTTCAAATCAACGCTAAAATAAATTATTTTAATTTTACCGTATTGTTTATTTAATTAATAATAAATTACTGAT